GCTGGGTCCCAGCCTCCAGGATGTCCCCTCTGCTATAAGGATGATGTGTCTGGCTGTGGTTTGTCTTGAAATGCATAGTTCCTACTTCCTAATTTGCTGGTGCCTCACAGTGGGAGGGATTACAAGCCAGCCCTCCTTCCCTGGAAGGAGTGGGTGTTCGTGCGGAGGCCAGGGAGCAGCTTGGTCTGGCGCGGGTTGATTGGCTGGGAGTGTGGAGTGTGAAGTCGGGTGGGGAGGCTGCCTGTCCAGGCTGGTGGCCATGGGGCCTCCTGGCTGTGTGAGCCAGATGGAGAAGCTCCGAGTGCTTTGGTGAGGACAGCCCAGCTTGGGGTGGGCTGACAGGCACGCTGGTGGGCACCCGGAGCTGGGGCATGCCCTTTGTGGCCCGGAGCTGGCTGGAGAAGGATGTTGGGGCTCACCCCAAGGCTGTGCCCTGAAGAGCCACTGCAGCTACCCCAGCTCTGCCTGGTGCCCTGGGAAGGCAGACAGTGAGCTTCCAGAGCTCTGGGCAACGCGAGGTGATGGGCTCTGCAGGAGGGACGGGAGGTCTGAGCAGGGGTGTCCCAGCATGGCGTCCTGCTCGGGCAAGGCTGTCCGAAGTTGAGCTGTGGCAGCAAGACTCCCAACCTTTCCTGGGCACTGCTCTGTGCCCAGCTCTCTGCTGGCCACTGAGAGAAATAGAAAATACTGGAAGACTAAATGGACAGGTGGGTGGGTCCTACTCTCCAGGGCTTCAAAGTCAACACTGCAGAGGCTGGAGACATGCTTGCCTATGGCCCATACGCTCACCCTCATATGCGGACATGCCCATGCACGCCCCCTCTGCAGGCATGTGCCGTGCCCTGAGCACACACCACTGTGTCTGTCCCCGTTTACGTCAGAGCTTTCCCCAGGCCAGTGCCTCTGTGCGTGAGGGTGGGACTGTCCGTGAGCTCTCAGAGGTCTCCTCGCTGCTTGGGGGCAGTGGTGTCTTCCTAGGCCTCTCTCCCATCAGCCTGTGAATTGGAGCTATGGCGCTGTGATTGCCTCACAGGGTGGCCCCCAGCATGCCCATGACATAAGGGACAAGAGAGTGTTTGTAAACTGCAAACTGTTTTCCAAAGGCTGCTGTTGTTGTCACAGCTCCTGCGCCCAGGAATTCCTCCAGCTACAAGGCAGCCCTGTCCTTGGGCAGAAAGGGACAAGCCTGGCGGTAGTGAGGGTCCCACTGCACCTACTGATGCAGGCCAGGGCGAGCTCTCCACCTGCATCCCTAGCCAGTGGGGAGGGGCTTGGCAACGGGCTGGCTGCGGAGTCGGGGAAAAGTGGGGGGCGGTCACTTCATCAGAGCCTGAGGCCAGAGCAGGGTCACCGTTCAAGGGAATATTGTCTCAAAGTGGATGCCCGTCGGTCTTCAGTGGGGTCTTCAGTGGGGCCTTCTGTGGGGCTGGGTCAAGTAAGCAGCAGCCCCTGCCCCTGGGTGGGCCCCTCAAGGTAGGCAGGGGTGGGGTCTGCTAGGTTATCAGAAGGCCACCCCGTCTTTACTCTTCTCAGCTGTGACTGGGGACCGAGGCACCAGCTGGCCCCCATCAGACCCGGGCATTGGAGAGGGGGCATATGGAGACTGGGCTGCTGCATGGGGCGGTGATGTGGGGTGGGACCCCAACCAGAGGGCCCCCTTGTGGTCCGCTCCCCCGGTATGGCCCAAGCTCTGCAGGCTGACACTCAGCAAACAGGCTCAGAGACCCAGAGGCCTAGTGCAGGTCACACTGAGAGCAGGAACGGGGCTGGGCCCTATGCTGGTCCAGTGTCGGGGAAGGCAGGCTCTTGTTTGGGAACCCCTTTTATGAAGGAAGATGTGGACTCATCTTCCCGCATGGGTGAAGCCAGCATAGAGCAATGGCCGTGTGGGCTGGAACAGGCAGGGTGGGCTCCTCGGAGGAGTAGGCAAAGTCTGGTCTACCGGAGAGGGTGGGCAGGGCACTGTGGGGGCCGGTGTGGCCAGGTTGTCGTGGCTCTCATTTGCTGAGCCTTCCTGGGTCCTCAATTTAACCTTATTCTGTCCTCATGATGGGTTGTGAGGGTTTCTTCCCCTTGTCCCGACTTTATAGACTGGTTCATTAAATCTACAAATATTTTCTGAGCCAGTGGCTCTGTGCCCCAGTACTGGGACCCAGAGACAACCAGGCCCAGAGATCACTGGGCCCACTGTCTGATGAGGGTGGTGGCATGGTGCCGGCCTGGCTGGGAAACCACCGTGTGATCTGGGACCAGTTACGTCCCCTCTCGGTGCCTCACTTTCTGAGCTAAACAATGGCAATAATGAAGCTTCTTCCTCCTAATATTTCTAAAATGCTCCGCACAGAGCCGGGCACGTGGAAGGTGTGGCATCTTTGTGTGCTTGTTTAAAGTTATCAAAGGAACGAGCTGATTGTAGGCTGTGGGCAGGTGCTGTGCGGGAGGGAGGGCAGGGACCGGCACTGTGCTCTGTCCTGAAGGAGGCGTGGCCCCGGGCCGTGTACGCAGGGGTCAGGACTCACAGCACGGGACTCTGGAGTCATGTGCGTTCGGTAAGATATGCCTGAATGTACAGCAGAAAACAAAGGAAAGGGAGGATGAGGGACTCCTGAGGCCCTCTTTAGACAGGGCAGTCGGGAAGGGCTCCTGAGAAGAGGTGACAGTATGGGGCCCCGGGGGAGGAGGAGGCTGTGTTCTGGGGAAGAGAGAGGAGACTGAGGCTCTGAGAGGCCGGGGCCTTGCTCACAGTCACCCGGGGACCGGGAGCGACAGCCCAGGAGGTTGCTTGGCAGCTGGGCCCTGGCGCTTTGGCCCCCATGACGCCTCTACAGGGAGGCCGGTGGGGCATTTGGTGTATGTGCTGGGGGCAGCCCTCTCCCTGCCCCTGGGCCTGTCTCCAGGCCGTGGCACTCTAGAAGGACTATTTTAATCTGTGTAAGAATTAGGTTCCTAAATATGGACTGTAGGCACTGAGGCTCCGACTCAGGGCAGCCCCACCGGCTGTCACCTTGGCAAAGTGCAGGCTACTGCCTGCCACCAGGCGCTCCAGCTCCTCCTCACGGCGCCCCCACCTTTCCCTCCCGTTCCTCCCCCACCCCGCCCTGTCCCCTGTCCCCTGCCAGCCGGGCCCATCTTTCCATCCAACCAGAGTTTGTTCAGGAGCTCAGGGTTTTTGGCTGGGCCCCCGCCAGGGACCCCCAGGTTTCCCCAGCCTGCCTCTGCCCTCTAGCTGCCTCTAGCCCAGGGGAGGCATGGAGGCCAAACACAGGGGAGGAGGTGCTGGCAGGACTTTGCAGAGGAGACACTTGAACCAGCCCAGAAGATTCCTCAGAGAGGGGGCTGGCCCTGCAGGGGGAAGGGCGAGTGCCTGGGTAGGCATGGAGGGGGGCCTGCTGGGGACACGGACACGTCACTCTGACCAGAACAGAAAGGGTTCTGGGGCCAGTGGGGCAGGAAATTAGGCAGGCGAGGAGGGCAAGCCCTGCATGCCAGGGCAGGTGGCCCTCATCAGGGCCAAGGGCAGGGTAGGTGGAGAAGGCCAGGGAGGGAGGGATGGATGGGCTGGGGCCGCCGGGCGGTGGTCAGCGCAGGGCTGGGAGGGGTGTCCGGTGGCCAAGCCGAAGTGGAGAGGGTGGAGCTCGGGGGAGGACGCTGCATGTTGTGCCTGCAGCTGAGGACCGAGGTGCCCCTGGCTGGAGCCATCTCGGGGGCCCCCTGGCGCGCTGGGTGGTGAGTGGGGTGTCTGAGCCTCTGCCCAGGGTTGCGAGCATGGAGCTGGGGCTCGGGAGCTGTGGCCGTGGAGTGCAGGGGTGTTCTGGGGGGAGAGGCAGCATGAGCAGGGCATAGCGGCTTCCAGGCTGGGGACGTCTGCCCGCAGTGGCCTCCATGCACGAGTCCTGACAGGCTAGCGCAGCAGGGCCCAGCGTTCCCTGCACTAGGGTCCAGTCGAGCAGCTCCAGAGATGGAGGAATAGCCAGGGGGCAGCAGACGTGGCAGTCCACCGCCTTCCTCCCACCCCAGTTTGCCTGTGCCCAGAGAGCTTGGCCCCAGAGCCTGCGCCACACAGTGCCCTGGCAGAGGGGCGGCCATCCTGCAGAGGAGGAAGGCTGGCCGGCTGGGGCCCTGGGTCCTGCGGTGCTGGGCAAGGCGGAGCTGACCTGAGCCCCAGTCTGGGTCCTCAGCCCTGCTCAGTGAGAGAATGAAGGTGGCTTGTGTTGCGCGAGCAGCCTGGCTGGGGATGGTTTGTCCTGGCCCCTCCCATCCCAGCCACCACCCCTGCACGCTGACCTCTTCGCACACCTCGTTCAGCAGAACCGCTCCGGGCCTTGCTCCCTTCCGCTGGTCGGCCATGTTGTTGGCAGCCCTGGCCCGGCGCTGAGTAAGGACCCTGCCCCCACCCACCTGCTGCCTGCCTGGCATGATGTGGCCTGTGGGGATGACTCTGTGGCTACTCCATTTTGCAGAGGTGTGAGCTGTGGCTTGGAGCTGTGAACGTTTGCCTGAGGTCACATGGAGTCACTGGGGGAACTTAGCCCGAAACCCAGACCTTCTGTCCACCAGGCAGTCCCTCCCTTAGCCAGGGTCCTTGAACCCCAGATGCTGCCTCTCGGTCCACACTCTTGTGCCATCCTGCTGTAAACACAGGCTCAAGGGCTGTGTGGCCCCTGGCCTGGGTCCCACAGCTGATGTGTGAATTGATGATAAAACCCACTCAGTTTCCACTTAGACGCTGCCTCTGTCCAAACAGGGAGGCAGGGGCTTCTGTGGCCTCCAAGCTGCTTGAGGCTGGCCCTCAATCAAGTCTAGAGGCTCATTGGTCCACAAATCAGGGAAGCAGATTCAAATCTTCATTTTGCCCTTCATAAGCTGGGTGACCTTGGGCAGGTCGCAGACCTCTCTGTGCCTTAGTGTCCTGGTCCTCAAAGCCAGGGCAGTGGTACTCTCTGGGGGCTGCGGAGGGAGGCAGCTGTGTGCTGACGCCATCTGCGTCCCCCTACCCCCAGCTCCTGTACGACAGCCCCAAGGCCCGGCAGGAAGTGGACCACCACTGGCAGGCTTCGGGGGGCCCCCACATTGTGCGTATCCTGGACGTGTACGAGAACATGCACCACGGGAGGCGCTGCCTGCTCATCCTCATGGAATGGTACAGCACCCGCCGCCGCGCCGCCCTGCCACCCCACAGACCCAGCTCCTGCCCCCTGCAGGCCCCCTCTGCTCTTTGGATGGCAGCTCAGAGGCAGTGCAGCCCCTGAGGAGTGGTGGCGGGGCAGCCTCAGCCCTGCCCAGAGGGCTGTGCGGCCAGCTGCCTGCCAGTCCAAGGGCTGGACCCCTGCCCTGGGTGGGACCCCCGGGACCCCCACCCTGCAGGGAGGCACCGGGAAGGGAGGCGCTGGGGGAATCTCCTGAGAGGCTGAGGGCCTGGAGGTGGCGGGGGCATGGTGAGCGGGCGGTGCAGCCCCCAAGCTTTCTCCTTCCTGCCTGCACTCACACTCCCTGGGCTCCCTGCGGTGGTGGGTGGTCAGGGCCTCGGGCCAGGAGCCCCCACTCCTCCATCCTGGGCTGCTCCCTCCAGCACGGCGGCCCGGCCCTAGTTCCTCAGCACCTGGGCCCACCTCAGGCCTCCAGCTCCTCCCCATCTGCCTTGCAAGAGCCCCTCAGCCTGCAGGTTAGCAGTCTCTAGTCAGATTTGATTTGGGGTTCAGGTCCTGGCTCTGCCACCCCCTAGCTGTGTGATCTTTGGCAGCTGTTAACCTCTCTGAATCCCTAACTCCCTGTAAAATGTGGAGGAAGATCTTCATGTAGTGGCCACTGTGTACCTGAGTCCATTTGAAGTGCTCCTTGTGTATTGTTTATTCTGTCTGTGCACCTCTGTGAGGTTGATGTTGTAATTCCCATTTGAGAAGAGGAAGCTGAGGCCCAGAGAGGTGAAGACAGCAGCCCAGGGTCACACAGCAGTGCGCATGAAGAGTCTGCCCAGGGTGCACATGCTGCAGGCACTTAGACAGCAGCGGTCATGATGATGGTCATTGAGATCTCATCCCTGCTGGGGAAACTAAGGCTTGGATGGGGGTGGGGCCACCCGAGCCCCAGCCAGGCAGGCAGTGCTGCTTGGGAATCCAAGGGCTCTCTGGTGAGGGGCAAGCCCACCCCCACCCCCTGGTTCTGAGAGTTCAGTTCGACCTGCCCCAGTGGCCAGACCTCCACACAGCAGGCTCTGCACGGCACAGGGGCGCTGACAGTGACTGTCCCTGGGGAGCGGCAGGGCCAGAGGCCTGGGTGCGTGCTTCCGGTAGCTGACGCTGGCTCCCCCGCCTGCTGACAGTCCCCTCCTCTTACAGCATGGAAGGGGGTGAGCTGTTCAGCAGGATTCAGGAGCGTGGGGACCAGGCTTTCACCGAGAGAGGTGAGTGCGTGCAGCTGGACGAGTGGGGATTCGGGCTGGGACAGAGGAGCTGTGTGGTGCTGGGCCAGGCCTGCTCCTCTCTGTGCCTCCGCCTCCCTATCTGAGTCAGAGGGTGTGGGGTGGGGCGTCCATACCCCAGGGGTTTGGGGAGTCTGTCACACCTTGTCTGAGATGGACTCTCTGTGGCCTTGGGATGGAGGCCTCCAAGCCTCCTGGGGCTAGCCAGCCGCTGAGCTGCCGAGAGGTAGCCCAGGCCCAAGAAAAGGCAGCTAGGTGGGCAGGGGGTGTTCCCAGAAGAAATGAAGGTGACTGGAGTGGATCCTGCGTGGCGGGAGTGCTGTGCCCATCTCCCCATCTTGCGCTGTCCCAGGGCGGGGGAACCACCAGGCGGGCACCCCAGGCTGCCCAGCCTCTAATGGGCATCACTGAGCCCCGCCTTTCTGTCCACAGAAGCTGCCGGGATCATGCGGGACATTGGCACCGCCATCCAGTTTCTGCACAGCCAGAACATTGCCCACCGGGATGTCAAGGTGAGGCTCCGGGCCCTGACTGGGGCACCAGGAAAGGGAGAACCAGCCCCACCCCCAGTAGCACCCAGGATGTGGGGTCGAGTGCCAAGTCACTTGGTTGGCAATGAAGGCTGCTGCCCCTGGCCCAGCGTGCCCTTCTCAGCCTTCTTTCCCATGGCTCCAGCATTCCCACTCTGCTCTGGCTGGGATGGTCTCCATGCCTCCTGCAAACATGGCAATCCCAGGAGTCATGAGAATAGCTGAGTGCCTGCCTCAAGTCAGGAGATCCTGATGAACACCCCGTTTACCCTCACCTAAGCCCAGGAGATGGGCGCCTCACCCACTGGACAGGAGAGGACACCATTAGGCCTGTGATTCATTCATTCATTTGCTCATTCAGCAAGGACTTTCTTGAGCACATAATGTGCCAGGCCTTAGGCAGTGGCTGCCTGCCTCTGTCAGGGCTCCTGTGATGTAACAGCTGTGTCTGGGACAGATCAGACCCTCTGATGCCAGCATTTTAAGGGAGAGAGGCCAGGAGGAAGGCAGAGGCCCGCAGTGGGCAGGCTTCAGACAGGTTCTGGAGGCTCAGCTCCTCAAATTTCCCACCCAGGGAGGACGGGGTCTGAAAAGTAATCAGGATCAGATCGATGAATGCAAGCGAGGAAGCCCAGGGACCTGTGCTTGCATGCACCAGCCACCATCAGAGCTGAATCTGCGAGTCCCAGGCCCTCTGCCCCGGGCTGGGGGCAGTGCCGCATAGGGGACTGGGCGCAGCAGAGCTGAGAGTCCAGCTGCTGCATGCCCCCCTTCCCTGGTGAGGACTGACAACCCACGCAGTTAGCCTTTGGTCCTGGGTGCATGTGCCGCCATGACAGACTCACCTTCTCACCCCTGCTTTATTATGTCCTGGCTTCCTTTCTCTCCCGAGGGGAGAAAAGCCTTCCGCGGAGGAGATCCCTCACACAGACTAGACTGATTCCCTGTCTTTATCCCAGTAGAAGGTCAGATCATCTCAGACAGAACCAGAGAAATAGCTTCCCCTGGCCCCAAACTGGAACTCCATCCAACACCCCGTCTTCCCACCCCCGTTCTACTCCTCTCCATGGGCTCGGATCTTACCCATTCATTAAAAACCAGCTTCAGGGCTGCCTCTTCCAGGTAGAGCTCCCCCCTGCCCTTGTCCCTCAGGCTTCTCTGTGCTCTGCAACCAGGAGAATTGCCTCTGTACAGTTCCTGGGACTTGAGCAGTGAGGGCTTCTCCCTGAGCAATGTCAGCGGGGGCTGCCCTGCGGGCTCCTCCGGCCTGCGTACAGAACATGCTGAGCATCGCTGGCCCATGAGCAGCCTGCCCCCACGCCAGACCCTCATTTTGGCATTTCATCACAACACAGGCTCAGAAGTTCCTGCCCCTGGCTCTCCACGGCACTTGGGCTTTCACAGCCTTGGCTGAACGCCTGCCTCAGTTTCCCCTCTGCGAAAGGAGGCGCAAAGGGGGTACCCCTCAGTCTGCCCTCCTGGTGTCCCCCCCCCCGTATTTAGCCTGCGTTCTTGGTGGCCAGTGCCTGATCTTTTTAACGAGATGGGTCTGGCTTCTCCTGCATTGACGAGGGCGGGGGAGGAGACCTGGCTGAAGACCCCCTTGGGACTCTGCTCCCACCTGGCGCCCAACTCCGGACTGATGCCCTCTCCTCCTGGCCCAGCCTGAAAACCTGCTGTACACGTCCACAGAGAAGGATGCCGTGCTCAAGCTCACCGACTTCGGCTTCGCCAAGGAGACCACCCAGAACGCCCTGCAGACGCCCTGCTACACTCCCTACTACGTGGGTGAGTCCTTGGGACGTGGTTTGCGCCCGCCTCGCCCCATTGGGCCCTGCTGTGCCCTGGCGCAGCCTGTGGGTTGCAGAACCGAAGGGTTAAAGCCCAGCAAGGAAGGAGGGGAAGATTCTGTCTGCATGGAGGCGGTGACATGGGGGGCTGGAGGCTGCAAAAATATTCTCCCAAACTTCAGCTTTTGCTTTTGAAAATAGATCCAGGAAAATTCTGGCTGTGGCCTGTGAGCTGAATGACATCACAGCAGCTCTAAATATATACGTGATAAAAGGCTGCCATCAGCTTGGGTAGGAGCCCAACCGCAGTTGTTTTTCTCCGGTTTTTATCTTCCTAGGATTCATTTTCAGAAAGTGGGCAGGCCTTTCCTCCTACATGAGAGGGATGCAGGGCAGCAGCCACCTGCCCTGGGGAGAGGGCCCCTTGGCCAGGGCGTGGATGGGACCTGGAGTGTGCACGCACTCATGCTTTCCTGTGGGAGCTCCCTGCTGCCCGGGAGGGGGCAGCCCTCACATCTGGAGACGCCCCTTTGTCAGAGAGTGGGGCGATGGCTTGCATTACAGAGGGCTCTTCTCCCTCGGGGCGGCCTTCCAGGACCACTGAAGTGTTCTGTGTGTTGTGTTCTGACTTAGACATCTTCTGGCCCACCCATCACATCACACAGTTGGGAAGAGCCAGGCCCTGTGCGCCAGGAGCCACACTGACAGTGGGAGCCAGAGCCCTGTCTCCTCCTTGCCAGGGGGCACGGGACAGGGCAGCGGGTGGGCCGAGGCCCTCCTGTCTGTGGCAGGGCCCCACCAGGCCCCACCCCGGGCGCATCTCCCTCTCCTCTCACCAAGTCTGAGCCTGGCCCAAAGAGCTAGATGGCCCTCATTCCTTAGAGCCCAGCCTGAGAGCGGGCTTCTTCCCGGGAGCCGTTTTCCTCCCCGAAAGTCACACACATACTGCCTTCCCAGAAGGTGCCAGACGTGTCTGCTCTGCTGCACACCCCAGCCCAGGCCCCTGCTCCCCATCTTGCCCCGGCTTCAGGCTCCCACCTGGGCTCCAAGACCCTTGGGGCTGAGAGCCCTCCTGTGCCCTCTGCCCTGGTAGCTCCGGAGGTCCTGGGTCCAGAGAAATATGACAAGTCATGTGACATGTGGTCCCTGGGCGTCATCATGTACATCCTGTGAGTACCGCCGGCCCCTCCCCGGGTCCCCTCAGCACCACGCCTGCCCTCACATACCTTGAGAGGGTCCTGAGCAGCCCCCTCCTTTGCAGGCTGCCCTGCCCTCTGGTCGTGGGACGCCTGTCTTCAGGCTGCCTGGAGGCTTCCCTGCTGAGGGCCGATAGGCCTGGGAGCCCAGGGAGCCGGCAGTACTGCCACACTGTCTGGCTGCCTGTCTCCCCAGTTAGGGACTTGGGGAGGAGGATGCGCCCCCTGTTGCTGCCCCTGCACCCATGCTGAACGACCTCTGCCCTCCCGCAGCCTGTGTGGCTTCCCGCCCTTCTACTCCAACACCGGGCAGGCCATCTCCCCAGGGATGAAGAGGAGGATCCGCCTGGGCCAGTATGGCTTCCCCAGCCCCGAGTGGGCGGACGTCTCTGAGGATGGTGAGTGGCCCGCCCGCCGGACCCCGTCAGCCTCCATTTCGGGAGGTACCACTTTAGTGTCAAGCCGAATGGGCTCCAGTCCCGGCTCCCCCACGTCCCAGCTGCGCGACCCTCGGCCAGGCACCTAACCTTTTTGAACCACAGTTTGTGGTTCTGCTAAATGGGCTCGGAACTTCTCTAACTCCTGTCTCTCCTTCATATTTTTGCTTTGGGGACCACAGACAAGTCTGCTGTATGTCAGTCACCCATCGCTGCTTTAACACACCACCCTGAATGCTTAGTGGCCTAACACGAGCGACAGTTATCAGGCCATCGTTCCGTGGGTTAGACACCTGGGGGCTCATGCAGAGCTCGCGCCAAGGGGGAAGGTGGGCCCCGGCTCTGAGGCGCTCGGCAGCCTCATTGTCGCCCCTCTTGCCCAGCCAAGCAGCTGATCCGCCTCCTGCTGAAGACGGACCCCACAGAGAGGCTGACCATCACGCAGTTCATGAACCATCCCTGGATCAATGTGAGAGCCTCCTCAGCCTGCGGCGGGCAGGGCTGCCAGGCAGGAGGGTGATGGTACGGAGGCCCTGGCACCGGCCACCGATGTGTGGTTGTGGCCCCCCACCTGCAGCCTTACTGCCTCCCTTGCCTCCCTGAGCCTCTGTCTCCCCACCCGAGACTGGGAGAAAGGGGGCGGGTGGGGTGGGCAGGCAGTGCCCCAGGGCTGCAGCTCATAATCTGGGCTGGTGGCTTCTTCCAGCAATCCACAGTGGTGCCGCTGACTCCGCTCCACACGGCCCGAGTGCTGCAGGAGGACAGGGACCACTGGGATGAGGTCAAGGTGGGTGGACTCGGTCTCAGCCTCCCTGCGGCTCAGGCTTTTGGAAAAAGGGACTCCAGGGTGGTGGCTAGCAAAGCCTGGAGCACAGGGTGACCGCGCTAGTGGCCAGTGTGGCCCTCGGGGCTGCCACCGCACGAGGGGGTGCTCCCGGCTCACGGGGGCATAGTGCAGGGGCTTTGGCCATAACCCCTCATAGTCTCCAGCACCAGGGTGGGGGGTCAGCCTGGTTTTGCACCTCACAGAGGTGCTCAGAGCCTGGGTGCCCCAGACACGACCCTCCCGTGCTGTGTGCTGGATGCACAGAAGCTGTGCCCCCTGCAGGCCTTGTGGTTCTGAGCAGGGGATGGGTGCAGATCCCTGGGTACCTGCCCTACCCTTGCTCTGGTCCCAGGGAGTCACTGTACTTTCTGTGCCTGGGTGTCCACTGCAAAGGCCTATTGTGAGGATTATGTGTCACAGAGGGACAGGCCCGGTGCTGGGCGCACAGTAGGCGCTCAGGCAGCAAAGGCCGTCACTGCATCACTTACTGAGGGGCCGGCTCCCGAGGGCTGCGCACTCTGACCTCCCTGTGTCTGTGAGCAGGAGGAGATGACCAGCGCCCTGGCCACCATGCGGGTGGACTACGACCAGGTGAAGATCAAGGACCTGAAGACCTCCAACAACCGGCTGCTCAACAAGCGGAGGAAGAAGCAGGCGGGAGGCGCCTCGGCCTCTCCGGGCTGCAACAATCAGTAGCTGGGGCCTCGGGGGAGCCGGGCCTTCGCCTGCGGGACAGATGGGTGGCGCAGGCCCCGCCCCTGAGGGCCCAGGCCTCCTCCTTAGCGAAGGGATGGTTCTGCTGTGTTCTACGTGTTGCTTGGAGCTTCAGGATGGGACTGTGTCTCCAAGCCTCCTTCAAGCTCCAGCCTGGGCGCAGGCCCTGCCGAGGAGCCAGCTCCCGGGGACGAGGTGGCCAGCAGCACCTTTGGCCGGAGAGGCCTGGGTGAGGCCTTAGATTTCCAGGGCCCTGGGAGTGGTGGCTGGGCTTCCCCCTTCCGCGGAGACACCACCCTGTGGTGGGGGCCGATGGGCCTGGTTACTGGGTGTGAGTGAGCGGGTGGGGGGGCCAGGGGGCCAGGGGGGTCTGCCCCTGCCTTCTTGGGGTGGCCGGGTGACGCTGCTCAGGCTCACCCCCACCTCCCGGGGCCACGGGGCGGTCAGCTGCCTCCCTCAGGTGTCCAGCCTGGACGCTGCTGCTCCGCCCCACAGGGCCCTTGGAGCTCACCCTCCAGGGTCCCTGGGCCCTGCCCTCCGGTTACTACCCCTGCCAAGGAGTGGCATCGCATCCCAATGGAGGGTGGGGGGTATTTTTGATGCTTTTATACTTTGGAACATGTCACTGTGACAAAAGCCAGTTCAGCCCCCTGCGCCCACCTGCTCCCAGATCCCAGGCGGGAAAGCCGCGCTCCATGGCGGGTCAGCCTCTGTCCTGTCCTGGTTGGTGGCAGTGGCTGTCTCTTGGTGTACAATGAGAGCGGATGGCTGGGGGTGGTGCCAAGAGGCTCCCCATTAATGAGGGGTCTTTTTCTAGACTCCGGGTCCCACTCCAGGCAGCAGAGGGCTGCTGGGTGATACTTAGGCAGCCTCGTCCTGGCTTCAGCCTGAGTTGGAGCAGAGAGGCCCCCTCCCTGTGGTCCAGACTGCCCAGGGCAGCCTCGGGTGCTGAGTGCCTGATTCGGGCCTGACAAGTGCCTGACACCAGCCTGGCTCCCAGTTCCTGGCTCCCGACCCCTCTCCCAGTGGCTGGGAAACCCCAGACCACGTCAGATAGAACAACACTGCTGGGCCCTACATGCAGATATTAATAAACACCATTTTGGCATTTTCCCCTGGTTCCTGGGTTTCTCTTCCTTTAAGCAAATGGACAAAAGTGGCCCCAGGGCAGCTGCTCACTCCCTCTAGTGGTTTCACCGCTCCCGAAAAGGGTGCCTTGGGGGTGAACATGCTGGGCTGGCCCAGGGCCCCTCTGGCCTTGCCAGGCACGGGAGGGTCAGCAGGGCTGAGGGATGGCAGCTGCCTGTGCCCCCAGCCCTGTGCCGCCCTGGGCACTGTGTGTGTGACACCCACGTGCAGCCCTGTGTGCACCAGCGTCTGTGCACAGCAGCCGCCCCCAGCTGCATGCCGGGTACTGAAGGGCAGGCAAGGCGCCTGCGGCAGTGCTGAGCCACTTTCAGAAGCTGCCAGATTTCATTTGGCAGCGAGAATGCTGGGGAGGGAGGGGGCGGCGATGAGGCTGTCTTTTGATTACTGCCGGCAGCACCCTCAGCCCTGGGGGCCTGCCTGGCACATTCCCCATCTCCTCTGAAGCCTTCCCATTTTCCAGGAGCTCCCCCAGTCCCTGAGGGTGTGGGGGAGGGTGCAGGCATGTGTCAGCAGGGACGGGCGAGCACTCCTGGAATGTGTTCTGGCCACAGGCTTGGACAGGTCCCCGGCTTCCCTGCCTCTGTGTCCACCACACCGGGTGGCAAGTGCCCACCTAGGGACGTGGTCTCAGGGATCCACGGTGACGTGTCAAGTGCTTAGTGGGGTGCCTGGTGCCCAGCACCCATCTGCTGCCCTAGCATCCTTGTCCATCAGGAGGGAGATGAGTACCCATGCTGTGGAGGAGAGGTCCAGCCCCAAATCTTCTTCTGGAACTTTCCACCCAAAAGGTCAGGCTTTCTCCACCCAAGGGGTCTCACTTCCTTCACCTAGCTCTCCAGAGCACCATCATATGGGCTTCCTGGACCTCAGTGCGAGCCCTGGGCTTCCAGGAGGGTGGCCCCCACCTCTGCAGGGCCCTGGGGATCCTCAAATGAATTCTGGGGCCTCCCGGAGCCTGTGGTTTAGACCAACCCTCGGCATGAACCCTGCCTAGTGAAACGCTGGTCATACGCAAAGGCGGGTGGAGTCTGACCAGAGATGCAGACAGACCCTGTCACTTGGCTGCTGGGCACCTCCCGTGCTGTACCCTCTCATGCCCTGCCAGGACCCCCACTGGGTGCAGGGAAGGCAGCAGTGAGAGTTGCAGACAGGTCTCACCTCAGGGAATTTCTACCTGTGTGGGAGGACAAAATAGCACACACACGCATGCCAAACTGCGGGCCTGATGTGGTCCGTGAGGGGACAGGGCTGGGGAGGCAGGTGTCACTGGGCAGTTTGCGCATCTCGGTGGCTGGGGAGGTGCCTGAGAGGTCACAGGGTGGAAGGCAGAACTGCAGGGCCAGGGCCCCAGGGACGGAGGGATTCTGTGCCCCTTGGCTCTGCCTATCTGTGCCTCTCTGCCGGTTGGCCTGACCTTCCACTGCAGGACTTCTCCACCCGCAGGGCCACAGCTTCAGCCATCCCAGTGGGGAGGTGTCTGCCCCTGGGCCTGCATGCGAGGCCCAGGGAAGGATTCTTGGCCATACTGGCCTGCCCCTCCGGGGACAGGTGGTACAGCACAGGGAGTGGCAGTTGGAGGGACTGTCCCGTCTCCACGGGCCCATGAACCGAGCTCCTGACAAGCCCAGCCTCAGGGCAGCTCTCGTGAGCTAGGGCTGGGGGGCAGGAGGCCTGGCTGAGTCTCCACCCAAGGGGTCTCACTTCCTTCACCTAGCTCTCCAGAGCACCATCATATGGGCTTCCTGGACCTCAGTGCGAGCCCTGGGCTTCCAGGAGGGTGGCCCCCACCTCTGCAGGGCCCTGGGGATCCTCAAATGAATTCTGGGGCCTCCCGGAGCCTGTGGTTTAGACCAACCCTCGGCATGAACCCTGCCTAGTGAAACGCTGGTCATACGCAAAGGCGGGTGGAGTCTGACCAGAGATGCAGACAGACCCTGTCACTTGGCTGCTGGGCACCTCCCGTGCTGTACCCTCTCATGCCCTGCCAGGACCCCCACTGGGTGCAGGGAAGGCAGCAGTGAGAGTTGCAGACAGGTCTCACCTCAGGGAATTTCTACCTGTGTGGGAGGACAAAATAGCACACACACGCATGCCAAACTGCGGGCCTGATGTGGTCCGTGAGGGGACAGGGCTGGGGAGGCAGGTGTCACTGGGCAGTTTGCGCATCTCGGTGGCTGGGGAGGTGCCTGAGAGGTCACAGGGTGGAAGGCAGAACTGCAGGGCCAGGGCCCCAGGGACGGAGGGATTCTGTGCCCCTTGGCTCTGCCTATCTGTGCCTCTCTGCCGGTTGGCCTGACCTTCCACTGCAGGACTTCTCCACCCGCAGGGCCACAGCTTCAGCCATCCCAGTGGGGAGGTGTCTGCCCCTGGGCCTGCATGCGAGGCCCAGGGAAGGATTCTTGGCCATACTGGCCTGCCCCTCCGGGGACAGGTGGTACAGCACAGGGAGTGGCAGTTGGAGGGACTGTCCCGTCTCCACGGGCCCATGAACCGAGCTCCTGACAAGCCCAGCCTCAGGGCAGCTCTCGTGAGCTAGGGCTGGGGGGCAGGAGGCCTGGCTGAGTGTGGTGTGGGGCTCAGTGTGGCTATCTGTGAAGTGGGAGCAAATCCCTGGCAACCAGTTGGCATTAAGTGAGCTGAACAGCCAAGTGGCCACCAGCCCACAGGCATCTGGGCTCCATGGTAGCTTCCGTGGGAGCTTTCAATAAAATCCATGAGCGGTGTATTCACATGTGTGCATGTGTGTTGTGTGTGTGTGTGAGACGTTCCTTCCCAGCGATGCTCCCCTGACCGAGCCAACAGCAGAGCCCTGTGTCCTGCAGACCCGGTGCTGGCTGCCTTCCAGGCGCAATCCATTGCACACCCCTCCCCTGCAGCGTCCGGACAGAGCCTCAGAGTGCAGCCTGCCCAGCCCCTGCAGGGGGCCCCATGCTCCCGGGGCCTGCTGGGAGTTCTCTCTGGCAGCGTGGGGAGAGGCCCAGCCCTGGGTCGCTGCCTCCAGACCTGCTGCCTTGGGCGGAGCCTTTGCATCCCTCGTGGGTCCTCGCAGCTGCCCCTAAATGCAGCAGGGCAAAGTTCTTTCCTTTGTCTCCCTGGGCAGCCAGCATGGCCACCCCTTGTGATCAGGCAGACAGGCAGAGGGGACTCTGAGAAGTCCTCCTCCCACCCTGTGTGGGGTGGGGAGGGCTTATTTAGAGCCTGGAGACCTGAGCTTTGGTTTAGGAGGCCTAGGGTAGGGCTGTTCCACTTTTCCAGGTTGCCCATTAGTAACAGCAACACTGACTAATCAGGGCCACAGCCTTGGGTTCCCTTGGCAGACGTGCTGCCACCGGCTGGTGGGCTGTGAGAATGCGTGTGGCCTCGGGCAGACCATGCCCTCGGCGGCACCCTTCTCATATCACTTTTAAGTGGGAGCAATCCTCCCAAGGGTGGGCCAGGCTGTGGTGAAGGAGAGCAGGTGGCCGAGCCCCAAGTGTCTGATAGGTGACACACTTAGCTGCCAGGCTCCTGCCAGTTCTGCCCTTTCTCTCTTTCCTCTGCCCAGGAGAAAGCAGCCCGTGGCTCAAGGGAGACGGAGTCCTGGGGCTCAGAGCAGGGGCTGAGGGCAGGTTCACTGGGGTGTGGGGCCACCTGCTGGTACCTGGTGAGGGTTGGGTAGACGCTAGCTGTGCGCCGGAGCCCAGGGGAGCTTTGGCCACTCCTGGGGTAGAGGGGGAAACCCTAATGTCACAATGAGCAGCCTCCGTTTACCTAGTGCCAATGGCGAGCCAGGACGAGGCTGGGATCTCATGTGGGCCGTCTCACTTAGTCTCCACGTTCCTGTCTCACCGGTGGGGAAATGGAGCCCCGGGCTCTTAGCCACGGCTCTCTTGGCTGGAGGAGGTCCGAGGAAGGACGGATACGCTTGGTGGCGCACGATCATAGAAGGCTTCCGAGGTGGTGACGTGGATGTGGGGGGCAGGCTGGATCTGGGCAGACGATCTGGGAAGAGGATATTCCAGCTGGCAGGTAGAGGGCGAGGCAAGGTGGGGAAGCAGGAAGGGGGTGCACCTGTGGGAGGAGCAGAGAAGTCTGCTCAGCGGGTGGGAGGCCGCCTGCTTAGAGGCCTCTCATTTCCTCACCCCGCCTCCCGTTGGAATTCAGGGCGGGGACCTCAGCGCTGAGGCAGTGGCACCTGGTGGCAGCTTCTCCCTGTTAGCATGTCCAGGCCTGGGCTCGCGAAGGCCTGTACACCTGCTGCCACCCTGAGGGGCAGGCACCCCAGCTCGAGGAGTCACTTGGTCCCATGGCCCGTCCATCCTTTGCTGTGGCATTTTCAGGAGGCTCCAGGGTTGCTTGTCAGGGACCAGACCCTCCCACGCTGGGCGTCCAGTACCCTCAGGATGTGGTGGAGGAGTCCTAGGCCCTCCCTCCTACTTCAAACAGAGCTATTTTGTATGTTGGAATTTCTCCTGAGTTTATGTGCTTTAAAAAGTTTATGGACCACTGAACTGGACATTTAACAGAATTTATCTCAGTCCTGCAGGTAGGCATTATGATCCCATTTTGCAGGTGGGAAACTAAGGCCGAGAGTGGCCAAGTGGCTTGCCAAGAGCCATGACTCGGCTCTGATGCACAAAGCTGGCTTCAGGGTTATCCTCCCCCCCGCCGTCCCGGCCCTCAGAGGGTCCGACTCCCTGGGGACAGGCGGAGAGTAGCTGACTGCGCTGTCCGGCTGGCTGCAGCCAAGTGCTAGCAAGGGGACAGAGATGACTGGCAGTCATGGCTGTCTAGGCAGGCGGGCTGGCTCCTCTTTCTGGTGGGGAGTCAGAGAAAGTTGGGGCACAGAGGAGGTGATGGGGATGAGGAAGCACTGGGGCAGCGTCTTATCCCGGAAAACTGCCCCCACTGCAGGGATGCCCCCATCCTCACCCTAGCCTTCGTGTTGCTCTCAGCAAGCCAGGGAGACCAGCAAACCCTCAGCCCTCGG